CCTCCAACAGCCCCTCCAGCTTCCGCAACACACCCCCCTCCCTGGCCATAGCGCACATCGCCGTCGCCCAGGCCTCGGACTGGGCCGCGGCGACCCGTGCTTCGACTTGCTTCATGATATCCGCGATGAGGCCGACCTCGTCGACGAGTTGGCGGCGCGAGACGCTGCCTTTTGCCACGGTGGCGCAGTAGTCGGTGATTGTGAGGCATATTTTGCCGATTGTGAGCGTGAGGGCGACGATTTCGGCCATGGTTGTGTGTGTGTGTGTGTTGTGTGGTGCAGAGCAGGTCGAGTGGTTATGGCGATACTCGAGATCGATCGATCGAGTGAGTGAGCTCGCGACTCTAATTCACAGCTCCGTGTTCGAACTGGCGTTTCGTTTCCTGCTTGGTTGATGCTGTAGAATAAAATGAGGAAGGTACTCACTCACTCTACCCACCTCCAACATACAACCCCACTCCACTTCCCCACACGCGCGCGATCCACAAAAAAAAGAAGAAAAAAAAAATAGTTAACCGAACAGAACAGAAAGACAGAAAACTTCACAAAAAACTCGCAAAAAACCCGCGCGCAGGGGCAGCAAGAAGATAGGTATCACATCTTGTAAATGCGAAAACGAACTCTGCTACCTACCTAAGTACCTATGGAACCCCGCACCTGTCAGTCAACAACACCAATCCCAATCCCAATCCCATACCCAATCCCGGGGTCCTTGAAACGTGGACCCAGCAGCCGCAGCCGCGCAGGCAGCAGCGGGGGGATCCGGACGTTGCGAGGCGATTGCAATTGGTCAAAGCCCTTTTCTTTTTTTGGGTTGCATGCGGCGCATGATTATCTAGGTATGTATGTACATAGGTACTTCCTTCATATGTACAGTGATTTAGTTGTTGATTTATTTGATTGATAGGTAATAGGCGACGACTTATATATGACGGACGGGGGGTTATTTGAAGTTTGTGAATAATGTGGGCTCACAGTGTGATGTGTGTTCTCAAGTGAATGAGATCGCAGCGTCTTGAGCCCCCTCTCGGAGGCTGTCAAGCCCATCATTGGGTAGAGTAGGGCTTGACCTAACGCCTGTACTATGAGGCGCACCACCGAAAGTGGTAATCTAGGAGAGTACGAGATATTACTGTTTACGGAACTATTCGGAATACTGCATACAGTAGCCTGGTGTGCAATGCATACAGAGCACGTATAAAGCACATATATGGCACATATATAAGGCACAATTATGGCCTGCATTTATTTTTCACGCAAATGGCAAGTATGTTTAAAGCACACTTATAGCACAATTATAGCGCAATCCGTGCTATGATCGTAACTCTAACAGTAGCCACAAGTGCCGTATGTAGGCTGCTAATCCAGTGTGCTGTCCCATAGGGATGCATACGTAGGTACATAGCTTGGGAGGTAGGTCGTGGGTAGGTCATTACATATGTAGGTAGGTACCGTACTTGTGCAGCGAAAAATACTTTCTAGGAATATCAATGCTTTGATGATCATGAGGTTGCAAGGATTCGGAGGACCATCGAGAGGTACAATATTCTGCCCTATCAGCGAAATTCTGCTCTTCCTGTCCCTCTTTCTCCTCCGCTTTCTCTTTCTCTTTCTGTGGGGTTGGGTGCCATGGGACTTCAGCGAATGGGGAATTAATATTATTGCTTATTGCACCATCTAACAAATCAATCAGCACACAGCTTGTACCAACGACGTCTTCTACTAGGTACTAGAACCCTACGAATTTGGCTTGTATTCTAAGGCACTAAAGTTTATTTTCTTGGACAGGAGGGGAGGGACGATTACATATGACAAGCAACGCCCCAAAAATTTCGACAAAAAATATAATATTACTCCGAAACGCATGAGGAGAGCGGTAGATGGAGAGAGAGACAACGAGAAGGTCGAACAGGGAATCGAACCCTGATCACAAGAATCAGAATCTTATGTGCTACCTTTACACCATTCAACCCGGGGATGAAGTCGGTCGGCTAGTGCAAGACATTGGAGACTAGTCTTTTGCCACTGAATGTAAATTCATGACGGTGTGATGATCAAGTACTTAAGTTATAGGGATGGACTACGTTACTTTCAGTGGGTTATCCATACAACGATGCAGTGTTTGGGTTCTTTGCTGACTTCGAAAGTGTAAAGAATGAGAACTGTAGAATAAGTAAATTACACATTGGTCGCATGGGTTGCTGAAGAGAAACAGACTCATGATCATAGGTAAGTAGGTAAAAAAAGATGAATCCCAAGTAGTTACGGTAATAGTCGAAATTCGGGAGTTTAAACCATTTCACCATTTTAAAACGTGGATCGCCAAATTTTCATAGTTTATGACCACGATATATCTGTATACGTGCGAAAACGGTACCGTAAGTTCCTGGAGGAAAAATGTCTTTTGCTAAGCATGCTTGATGTTGCACTCTTGGCCAGTTTCGGGGTGTTTAACAGTCGGGGCTTTGGGGGTCTTTCTTTCCAGCAAAGTTTAAAGGCCGCGGAGGTGCGAGCTAAGTACCTAATTTGTTCATTGATCAGATCTGGATTCCCATATTACAGGCAGAGCACCCAGAAACTCGTTTCAAAAGGTTTGGAATCGATAGGCCGTTCTTCGGGAATCCACTAATCGCAAGCGGGAAACTGTTTTTCAAGTTTGTATGGAGGTATAATTTTCCTGGGTGAAATGATCTTTCAGATGATTTAGCTTTCTAGGTCAACCTACGAGGCGGCTTATTTAGAAGGAGAAGTATCTATTAGATAAGTACCTTTCTCACGGTCATTTTCTCCGGCATTACGGATATTCATTTCTCTTGTCGATAATTTGTCTCACAAAGTAGAGGTTGGTCTGTGCGGAAAAGGTACTTGAGTTGGCATGTCTTACTCCAGCGCTCTCCATTACTCTAACCCTAAACACGTCCACGAACCGTACGTCGACGCGCACCATAACCAGCATCGATTGTAATTGCAGCGAATGTATCAAAGCCGAAACGTCGCCAAACTCCTCACCATCAAACCCTACCACAAACAACTCCACAGTCCTAATCTGGATAAGTCAGAGACCAACACATCCCGAATTAGGATCGTTGAGTATCAAGCATAATCAACGTGCATTTGACTGGCTCACGGCATACAAACTAGCATGATGCCAGCCCCCCAATCCACTCGCAATTCTCGGAAGAAGAAAACACCGTCGGCCGCCAGCGAAGCTAGTACGACATCAACACCGGCTCTCATCTGCGAGGAACCCAATTGTGCAAGACATACGGAGCCATATGTTCACATCGGCGGCCTGCGGAACCATTATGTCAACGTGATCAAATACTACAACTGCACGACTGGCGTGAGTGCAGCGCAGCGGAGGAATGCCAGGGCACATAACCTCCGGGATGTGATGCACGCCGTGGAGAAGCTGGACAGTGGGGCGGAGAACATGGTCGTGAACAGTCGGCGTCCGCAGCCACGGCGGCGGAGAAGGAGGGATGACGTGGATGGTAGCTCGGAGGAGGATGATCCTTCAGACGATATCAGATCCGGGGATGATGAGGGGAGGAGGGATGTGTCAGAAGATTATGATTATGATACCGCGGAGGAGGTTGATCTAGACAGCAGTAGTGAGGTGGTCCATGTCCGCTGTCAGAGTACCGCCTCGACAAATACCACAAACAGCAGGCGCGCAAAGCTCCGAAAACCAGTCGCGGCTAGGGGCTCCACCGCATCGTCTACCACCATCACCACCACCACATCGCGAAACAGACGCACCCGGACCAGCGAGCGCCCATCATCGAGTGATCCTCGTCCGGTGCAGCAAATCCCGTCACCGGCAAGAACTCCACTGCTCCAAATCCAAGTGCTCCATCGGTTTCATCAGGTTGGAGGCCTGCGTCTCATATGCCCCAGCGACTATCCCAGCCTCTCTCGCCTTCATCTCGCAATACTAGAGGGTCTCCCTCCAAGTGGTGGTGGTGGGGGATGGAAAATTGACACTCTGGAGGTCAAAGTGTCGGAGACGAGGATAATCGAGCTCTCTGGAGAAGGCACATGGAAGACGGTCATGAGCAATATTTTACCAAAAGAGGATGTTGGAGCACTAGGTGGAATGGTGCTGGTTGATGTAGTTGCTCGGGTGAATGTTTGTTGATCATGTATGTCTACATTTTGGAGGTTAATTGTTATATTTATTATTATATTTGTTTTATATCTATTCATGTTTTATTTGTCTACCACATAATACATCCTTTCTATAATGGCTTCTGTGTTGCGGGGTTTTTTTTGTGCTTCCCTGGTTTTCACTTTCATTTTTCGGTGTGGTGATTGCAAATCTCACAACGATATATTCCCTCTTCAGATCTTGCTTTCCTTTATATGTAGTCTTGCTTTGATCATCTACTCATATACCTACTTTTTACCTAGCCACATCACCCCTTGAATTTCTGCCATTGAGGTATGGATGGTGTCTGGAAAATCATTTTCATAGTGCGTTCTCCGAACCACACCAACTTCGCGCGGCCACAAATGAGTGTGTCTCCTCAATTAATATTCCGTCACCTTGCGGAATGTGGATAAAGGTTTAAGAAAACCAAGTATGGCGAATTCGGGGAAAGGTATAGGGAGTTTAAATTTCCCTTGCTGGCTCGATTTTCTTGACTCTCTTGAGGGGCCGTAAAGATAGGTACCCATTTTGTATGAATTTGCGTGAGGCTAGCATCACCAAACGGCATTGTTATGGGAGGATATGCGGGGTATACATACCTTTCATTGCTGGAAATCGGAGAGGGCGAGACACTTCCCTGATGGGAAAGGTAAGATGCAGGTCATTTTGGGGACTGGGCATGAGACTAGTCATTTTGAGAAAGTAGGTATTACTGCGCCCTAGGAGTTTATTATATCGGCCAAGCTAGGTAATTACTTCCCAATGCGGTATATTCAATTCCCGATTAGCTGCTCTGATCTGTCAAAATTGCGACATGGGCAGACTAGTAAAAACACATCCATCCAATGACCTTGTGGCCCAATGGCAAGGCGCTTGACTACGATTTGTGTTCAGCGAGAAGTTGATCCGATAGCTTATCAAGAGATTCTAGGTTCGATCCCTAGCAAGGTCGTCATTCTTTTGCTTTTGCTTTTCTTTTCTTTGACATTCGTTCATTCCTTCGGTGCATGTGCCGTCCCGTCTTCGAGATTCATTCTAACTCGCTCCCCACTAGTCCCGTACCATCCCCGGGGTGTACTTCACAGCCTTGATCCGGTAATACAAACCGAGTCAATCTTCTTCGAGGGGCTGGGCACGAGACTACAATCTTCACCGCATACTACCAGAGGACCGCGCCGAGTGCCGGAAATTACCGCCCATAAGTTTTGATTCACTTTTACCCAAGATAGACACGGAAACAATTGTTTACTTCACTTCGGACGTTGATGCATGGCAGGAATCACTATAGCTCGAAGTAACGCACTAGTTGTTTTTCACTTTAATCCTGATTAGTGATTCATACAAGCATATGTCAGGGTACCTCACCGGAAGCCTTGGGGGTTCATTATCAATGCGGGGTCTCTTATCCTGACCGTGGGAGAATTTCTGGAAACAGCTTCTTCGATCAACAACGTTCAAACGATAACTCCCCAATGACATTGAGAAAAACATACCTGAGGGGGGATTCGTTGCATTGCGGACAAGAGGCGGAGTGTATTTCTTTTCATTGGAGGGTAACAGAGTCCATATATACTGTGTCAAGCCACCAACTGCTGTGTCAGTCGTCTTGATTGAATAACAGGTGGCTGAAGGATAGGTTATTGTTGAATGTTGTTAAGTCTCATTGTTGTTCAAATTTGGAAGCACGATGCGGAGGTAGAGATGAATAACATGTAAAAACAGTAAAAACGGTAAAAAAATGCTTCGATATGTATATCTGCAATATTGGCCGAGGGTATTTCAGCTTAATATGTCCCTGTATTCAGAACATATAAGCCTCATCGAACTCATAAATCACCAAAGCGTTCATGGTTTAGTGGTAAAATTGGCGCTTGCCATGCGCTAGCCGCGGGTTCGATTCCCGCTGGACGCATCATGGGACCTTCACAAGTCCATTCTTTTTTGGATTTTCATCAACGATTCTTGTTTCCTTTCCCATCCTGTGCCATTTATTTGCTCAAACCAAGCTGAATCCAAATGAAAAAGATCAATGTTTATTTTTTCTCTTTCATCTCTTTCACATGGTTTGACATTTATTAGCTGATTTCCATTTCAAATAACCTCAAAATCAAGCTTAAGAAGCACGGCTCAAATAACAACAATCAGGCGTATAAGGGCGTGCACAATTGCAAGATTGCAAGATATCGATCAATCACAAGTGCAATCAGCAATTATTGTGGATGGATGGATGGATAGATGAGCAGGCCTACTCTGGCCAGGCGTGTGTGTGTGTGCTCCGTGCCGTTGGTCAGACCTGATGAATGTCATTAGGGTAGCACACGATCCCAATCCGCTTCCTCCCAATGTGTAAGTCCAGATTGGGTAGTCGTATGTTCTGGAAAGGGTATAGCGTGGTGCAAGTTGTGGGATAAAGGGTGTGCTGTGTTAAACTCCACACGAGCGAACCAGGTACTAGGTACTTTCGGGAGTTCGAGAACAGAAACGAATAGTATCATTCCAACCCACCAAGCCACCCATATGTACTCGGGTATATAATTGTCATACGTATGCCCATATCAGATTATCGCACTCTCATATGGTGCGACAAAAGAATGGGTCACAGGTCAAGGAAACCCCAACCCCATCGGTTGAATCCCCCCCGTACCCCCGTAACTCCCCGTGAAATAATCTTAAATGATAACAGTCAGAATTCGGAACGTGAGATTATAAGATTATACCATGTTGTCCAGTGTAATGGATCTGAAAGCTGAAATTCCGGCTTTTTATCGTTGTTATTATAGTTGCAATATGGTGATTGTACAGATTGTGAAAATTATATGTGATTGTGAAGGCGGCAGTCGATGGATGAGGATGAGGAGTATGAGTAGAGCAGCACCCCCCCCAGGGCCTATACAACTCCCAATCCGCAATAATCGATCCTAGATGGAGAGACCGTGATTGGAAGCCTAACACCCAGGAATAGAGGGGACTGGTTATATCGCACAACTAATATAAACCAATGGCAAACCAAACAAACCAACTGACCCCATTTCAAGCCTTACAAGGTCCTTTCCATATCCATTGCCACAGCTTTTCAGGGTAAGTTCTCCTGCCAGGATACAATCCCAGGACCGACGGCATGCAGTGTTGTGTTTGCGCCATTCCGGGAGTTGGGATGGGGTAGATGTCTCGTCTTAAAATCATGACGAACGTGGATAAGTGATTTCGAATTTTAAACACAAAAGTGGGGGAAGGGGGGATGCGAACAGGTGATAATATCGTTGCCCCTTCGATCCCAAAGCGGAAGTAGGCCTTCCCTCTACTTCCGCATTTGGAACCATGATTAGACTAAGCATGAGAGACAGGGCTCGGTAGTTACCACAATCTCTCGTTTTATGTCAAGTTCAAGTCGAGGAGCTGAAATCCGTTTTCTCCAAGTCGATTAAGAGAGAAAATATAAAGTACTCTACATGTGTCTATATGTTGAGGGGATTTCCAGAAGTGCTCAGGTTATCTTTACCTCGCCAAAGAAATTCCTTGATTATATATACTGATATCGGTATTCGCCCGTACAACAGCATCAAACGACTGAGGAACTTGACCACTTTGATCATGAGTACTCATGGCGGAGATAGCACTAAGCGCCATTGGCTTTGCCGTTGCCCACCCCGGTGCCGCACAGGCTTTCGTAGGTTTCGCGAAATTCTTCCACGAGTGCATCACGCTTTACAAAGATGCTCCAGAAAACCTCCTCAAGGTCAGATGCTTGGGCCTTTTCTACCGACAGTCTCGATTCTGCCCTCTCTGCTGCCCTGGCGAAGCACCTCCATACCCTACGGATCGTGGTCTAGCTCGCACAGCAATCTCTCGACGATCTATACACGAAGATAGCTCGCTGTGTAGGAGTGCGCCGTTTCGCGGGTTCCTTGGCCTTGCAAAGACGAGGAAGGTGATTGAAAACCTGAAGGCGTGGCAGGCGGAGTTTAACAGCGCAATCCAGCTTGCGTATATATTGCATCAGATGGTGTGACCTGATGATATGCTTCTTAAAAGGGATGAATTCGACATGGGCCTTTCAGTCTGCAATCTTATTCAAAAAAAAAGAAAGCTCTTAGTTTGTGTTCCTTGAATCAGATGGTTAATTCACTATAATAAAGCCTGCAAATTTAATTCAATTCAGATGTCTTCATTATTACAGCCCGAGAAACAAAATAGAACCGGAAACGACATCGTAGATAATATAGCTTGGGAGTCGCAATTGTAACAATTTTCAGCTCAGGTTGGTTATATTTCAATACTGCGCCTGAAGTATAATAGAATGTGGTACCAGATTCTTAATAGAGTATAGCTGGCGGAGAGGGTAAGGGCGCGAATACCAGTAGCTCTCCATTATTATTCTAGCTCAAACTCAAATCTTTCATTAGGCACTGCTCAAAGACATGCACCACGCATATCCCAGATATATTTTCCCAGAAAATTGGAAAATAATGAACAAAATCAAGCCAAAACCTGCATTTCTTGAAAACAGATACCTTTTTCTATGCCAAATAAAATGGATAAACATCGACGCCAAACCGTCCTACACCCTCACAAATATCCAGAAGCTACCCGAAATTGATCTAAAATTATGACAGAATTGAACGAAAGCAGAGAAGGTTATATCCCGTGAATTTTGAAGCCCCAAGGTTTAGATGGAGGAGAAATATTGAAAATTCTGCACATTTATATCTTAACCCCGCATCATATCGAGTTTGTGGTAACCAACCTCCACGGCGTCATCCTCCTACCCCTACCTTCTCACCCCATCCATCCCCAAGATTCGTCTTTCCCAAATTCCCAAGCATTAGCCTCATCAGCTTTCACGTACGTTATCCCCGCCTTCAACTTCTCCATTTCTCAATCGACTCAGCCTCTCCCCACACTCCTCATAGGTCTCAAATCGCAAACCCTTTCTCGGGTCTTCCAATCCTTCTTTCGTGCTATGCTCCCTCGAGTCCCTCAAGTGCCATTTTGTCATCCCACTCCATGACGGCGTCACCGGTGCTCCTCCCGTTTCATACTCGGGGCCATATTCATCCTTCCTCTTCCCCTCCCACCCCACAACTTTCTCTCCCTCATTATGCCATAACGTGATCCCAGCCTCCCTCCCGAGGTTGATAATGTCGGAGGTGAGCTCGGGGCGGTAGGGTTGGAGATAACCCTCCTCCGAGAAGAGTAGTTCGATATCATCGTCCTCGGGGCAATTTGGGTACCAAGACACCCTGGGGTAGGATAGATTTTCCAGGGATAATTTACGTTGTATGTGAGTATCGGAGACGAGTTGTCCAACGAGTAATTTGAGATGGCTGTCGTAGTACCTGTCCCTCCAAATATACGAATCATCTTTCCTATGAATCCAGAGTTCCTTTAGTGATGGTGGAATGATCTCCGGGAAGTTGAATCCCAATTGCTCATGACTTGCAGGAGGTCTGGAGGTACCCCTAACGAGACGATCAATTTCTCCAATTTTCTGCATCCCGAGTAACACTGTGAGTCCCACACATAATCTCTCCAGCTTAACCATCTCCCGGTGGAAGGGAAGTAAGCCCCCACCTCCACCGGTATATCCAAACTCCCCACCACCACCACCATCACTCGGATCATCATCACGTAATTCAGAAAGCCGATTTTCCCACTCCCCGGATGAGATCATTCCATCCTGTGTCCCATCGCGGCCATACCACTCGTGCACAATGCTCACACTCCGCAAAGTATCCGCACAAAGCTCTATCGCGTCTCTCAACTCACTCAAATCTGAAGTCTGAAAGTCCGCGCCAAAGTACAGCTGTCTTTGAAGTTTATATCTCAGGATCTCGACCTTTGGGCACAGTGTTAGGAGTCCCCTGAGGGTCGAAGTGTTGAATGTCGTCAGGGTCAGTGATTTTAGGGTGTTACACCGAGGAGTATCAAGTTCAATTGTGAGCGGGATAATAT